AGGATCTCAATTGATGCACCTGCAAATCTCAATTGATGCGCCTGTCTCCGAAAGGGACTGCTTCTCTGCTCCTTTGCTGGGGGAATTGTTCCAAAGGTGTCTTTGTGTCCCTAATCCCTTTTCTGCTTTGCTCTGCCTCTCAGACCTGTTTCTGCTCTACAGGGATGGAGCACTGCTCCTTATGGAAGAGAGAGAGGTGCTGCAACTGCTGTAGCCAAAGAGTGAAGGAATGCTCCCTCGAGGCTGCAGAGACGACCATACCTTTAAAGGACATTTAAAGCGCACCCGCCCCAAATCCTGGGAATGGCAGTCTACCCCTCACAGAGCTACAATTCCCAGGACCCTTAACAAACTACAATTCCCAGGATTATTTAGGTGCTTTAAAGGTGTTCTGAACACACGGGTTGTGTGCTGCCGTAGATTTATATGTCTATATGAGAGGGAGATAAGACAGTAAGCATCTTAGGAAAGACTTTAATTTAGTAATGGTGCAGGGATCTCGAAGCACAGCTTCCAACCTTGAATGCCGGCCCATTTCTGTTGCCTGTGTTAAGTGCTGCTCTTCTCTGTACTTCTGTTCCCTAGAGAAGCTTGCAGGGCTAGCAGAGCCAAGTGTGGTTGCTTGGGGTTCAGATTTGGCATTGCATTTGGCCATGTTCTCTGGGGTCTGATGTGAGCTGCATTGCAACACCAGCTAGAGAGCCGCATGTCCCCCATCCCTGACTTTAAGCTTCAGCACCTACTTAAAACACTTTTCTTTTATTTAGATGATTTTAATACTTTTTGCAAATTGCTTAAAGGCTTCATTACAATCAAGCGGGACATAAAATTTGTTAAAGAAATACATATTAATTGGTTGTGATCAGCTTGTTGAGCCAAACGTTCACATTGGCACTCGGTTCAAATGAAGATTCCTGGTGTGATTGGAGTAAAAAGAAAGTCCATTTCTGAACTTTGCTAAATAGAAAACAGATTCAGAGAGAGGCACATCACTCTGCCTGGTAGATGTGGTGAGAAATATTAAATATAAAATGATTAACTAATACAATGCCTGTATGAAATGGGGAGAGGGAGAGCAATGTGACCACCTGGAACTCCTTCGAGAAAAGGTAGGATATAAACGTTGTCATAATCATGATAATGTGTATTAAATTCAGTGTGTCTACCCTGAGTAACGTTAAGTGGGATGTCACCCATGGTGTTTAGACCTAGGACAATATGCTTAGGACTGTAGCCTCAAATGGTTTTGAAAGGGGAATTAGAGAAATCCATCCTGGGGGATGTACGATTTATTGATTTGGCGTGACCCCCGCTAATTGATTTACGGTCCCCAATTAGCTCTTTATGGCCGGTCCGGCACACTTCCTCTGCAAGACTCTGCTCCGTCTCCAGTCGCTCCAGTCACGCCTCAGCAGAGTGAACACAGCGGTAAAACTGTCACTTAGCTTCACTTAGCTTCCGACAAACACACAGAGCCCGGTTTGTCTATTTACAGTCCTTTATTCCGACATTCCCTGGGCTCACCGCAGCCATGGCAAACTGCGACCTTCTCCCTCAAAGAACAGAGAAGAAGAGAGAAAACTCCTCCCAGCTTCGAAAGCTGACGTCAGAATGCTGAGGCATCATGGGAACAACTTAACCTGTTAAGTTCCAAACCCCATACCCCCTCTTGCCGCACATTCTGACAAGACCTTTTTGAGTTCAACACCTTTCCCTTTGCCTTGTGCCCCTTCCCGGCATCTTTCCCAGGCACCTGTTGAACCCCTTCAACACTCCCAGAATCACACTGTGCGAAACTTGCCCACGCACCTGTGACCTGATACCTCTCCGGTGGAACACCCTTTGTGGCCCGAGAAGACCGCCTGGGCACAAACTGAGGTGTTTCATCTGAACTTCCCTCTGACCCACTTGGGCCAGCAGTTGTGTCTTCTCCGTCAGACTCTTCCCCCTCTGACTTGACAACCCGTCTGTGAGCTTTCTCCATTACGCTAACCGGAGATAAAGCCTCACACCTGGACACTCCTTTCACAACCCTTGGAGATGCCCAAACCTGCCCTGAACCCTGATCCTGGACCTGGTCCCCATCACCGGGTTCTGAACCCTGATCCTGGACCTGGTCCCCATCACCGGGATCAGCCTCTGCCTCCCTTTCCTCCCTTTCCTCCTCAGAATCAGACAGACATTCTGAGAGAAAATCAGGACCATCCCCAGGCCGTGAACAACCACCCTGCTCACAGAACTCAGCATGCTTGCTGACCAGCAGCTTGGTCTGATCACCCTCTGGGTATGCAAACTTCCACCCATTGGTTGCAGGATCATACCCACAGAAGATCATTTCCTGAACCTTTGGACCACCTGCCTTCCGCTGAGCTGTTGGTACCGGCACGAAAGCCTTGGACCCGAACACGCGGAAGAAATGCACCTGTGGCTTTTTCCGGTGCAACAGAAAAAACGGTGTTTCCCCTATAACGTGGTTATAGGACCTGTTAAAAACAAAGTTGGCAGCTTTCCAAGCTTCACTCCAAAAGCTCTGAGGCAGCCCAGAGTCACACAGCAAAACCCTGACAGCTTCAGCCAGTGTTTCACTCCTGTGCTCTGCCACGCCTCTCCCTTGAGGAGACTTTGCACCCGTCACCTGGTGACGTATTCCCTTTTCCTTGAAAAACTCCTTCAGAGCAGACCCAGTAAACTGTGACCCTCGGTCGCTCTTGAACCCTTGCACCCTGGTGGAGAACCTTAGTTCCACCTCCGCAACCCAATCCTGGATCAGTTGCGCCGCCTCTCCCTGTGATTTGAGAGAGAAACACCAGCCAACCTGGCTGTGGTCATCTGTCAGCGTCAGCAAAAACCTGGCCCCACCCAGACTCTCACACCTCATGGGTCCTGACAGATCTGTGTGAACAAGCTCAAAGGGCTCTTTGGCTACCCTCCCAAACCCGGGAAAACCATGTACCTTTGCACCTTTGCATGCCCTGCACCCTAGGGACCTCCCACATTCCCGGAATTTGCACCCTTTTGTGCACCTGGACAACTTCTGCACATCTTTCAAACAAGCATGAGACATTCTCCTGTGCCACACATGAACACATGAATCATGACTGGGAACCTTAGCACACTGCGCCTGTGCTTTTCCAGCATTCCCACCACCCTCCAGAGGTGACTCCAGAACAAAGAAATTGTTCTTGCTTTCCACGTTGACAAGTTGTCTCCCCCCTCTGAAAATGGAACAGGTGTCATTTTCAAAGCAAATTTTGTACCCCTGCTTCAAAAGAGCTGGTACAGATAATAGACAACAATTCAGTCCCGGCACAACGTAGACCTCTAGCTCCTCCTGTAAAGGAGAAAAAAACATGTTAGCCACATCAGAAACTGATTTTCGTGTTCCGTCTGCGAACATCACAGTGATTCCAGTTGAAACAGCCCTGCAGTTCCGCATTTCGCCAGCAGGCTTGCTTATCAGGTGACGACTGACAGTAGTATCCAAAACCCAGCGCGTCACCGTGTCCTGGCTGGAGTTGTTCTTCACAGTTGCCATAGAAGCAGTGATAAGAAAACAACCCTCCCCAGTGTCTGAGCCACGTCCTTCCCTTGCGTTCCCACGCTGGCCTCCTCTCCGAGACTGATTCCCATGGGAAACGACCTTGGAAATTTCCTGCCTTGCCTCTCTGCTCCGGTGGGGGCAATCTCGACGCAAGTGGTCAGCTGACGTGCAAATGTAGCAACGACGAGTGGAAAAACACTGCCCGGGGCTCCTTCCAGCTGGCCTGGCCCTCCTTCTTCCGGAAAAGCACTCCTTGCCAGCTCCGCCCCCTCTGAACCGCCACTCCACTCCAGCACGTACAGTGGAAAACTTTTTAAACGTGCCTTTGGAATTCTTCGCCCCCCCCCCGACCTGCTCACCAGCGCTCCTTGAGGCTAAAACATCAGGAACAGGGGCTCCAGCCATCTCTAGGCTTCTCATTACTTCTCCAGGGCTCTGGCCTCCTGCTGAAGTTTCACGCAAACGTCTCAGCACATCCCCAGGCAGCCCTTGCTGACTTTACGCCCTTGCCCAACTTCTTAGAGTGAGCTTTTCAGACGGAATGTCCTTTTTCTTCCCGGGGCCCCAAGCTTACTCACCAGCTTATTCAGCACCCGTTCTCAGCTGCTCTGAGCTCCGCAGCTACTCCTTGCCTCTTAGCAACAGGCAAAAAACTCACCGCCTCCTGCCGCAGCTTCTCTGCTTCAAACCGCAGACTTCAAAGATTTCCGGCAGCCTCCAGTGACAGCTTTACGATCGGTAATTAGGCTACCCATAACCTGTACGATTTATTGATTTGGCGTGACCCCCGCTAATTGATTTACGGTCCCCAATTAGCTCTTTATGGCCGGTCCGGCACACTTCCTCTGCGAGACTCTGCTCCGTCTCCAGTCGCTCCAGTCACGCCTCAGCAGAGTGAACACAGCGGTAAAACTGTCACTTAGCTTCACTTAGCTTCCGACAAACACACAGAGCCCGGTTTGTCTATTTACAGTCCTTTATTCTGACATTCCCCAGAAAACCCCTGGGCTCACCGCAGCCATGGCAAACTGCGACCTTCTCCCTCAAAGAACAGAGAAGAAGAGAGAAAACTCCTCCCAGCTTCGAAAGCTGACGTCAGAATGCTGAGGCATCATGGGAACAACTTAACCTGTTAAGTTCCAAACCCCATAGGGGACAGGTCTGTGTTAGCCAGCATGGTTGGATGAAACCTTCAGCTTCAGAGGTAATATACCTCTGAATACCAGTAGCCAAGGCAGGGACAGGGATTCCCCTGCTTGGTGAGGTACCTGGCAACACCCGGCTTGTTGCTGTGGGACAGGGAATGTTGGTCTGGATGGATTTTCGTGAGCCCTGCTGGATCAGACCAAACACCCAATCTAGTTCAGCATACCTGTAGTCACGTTGCCGTAGCCAAACTCGAACTCAGCACCACCCATTCTCTCTCTGTCTATCTCTCTGTCGTCTCTCTCTCTCTCAGTGCATCACCTGTGGTCCTGAAATGAAAGGAAACTGCTTTGGCCCCAGCATCTGCTGCGGAGAAGAATTTGGCTGCCTCATTGACACCGAGGAAACTCAGCGCTGCCTGGAGGAAAATGACCTGCCTGACCCCTGCACGTCCGGCTGGAAGTGGTGCGGTGAAGACGGGAGATGTGCAGTGCCGGGCACATGCTGCACTGTCGGTAAGGGTATCCGTGTGCGAGAGATGAAGCTCAGCAAGAGGGGGTGCTGGAGAGAGGAAGAGGGGGAATGTGAGTCAGAAAAGTCAAGTGGAAAACCACCGCCAAGGCAAAGACACATTAACTGCTACAACGGGTCATTTAGTACAGCCCCTGCAATGCAGGAATCTCAACTAGATCATACAAGACAGAGGACCATCCGACTTACCATTAAAAACTTCCACTGCCAAGCAGCTCTTAGGCTCAGAAGGTTCAGCAGCAGAACGTTCTTCCTAATGTTTAGTCAGACTCTTCTGTCTTGTATTTGAATCTATTGCTTTGGGTCCTGGAGCAGCAGAAAAGAATCTTGCTCTGTCTTCCATGGGACAGCCCTTCAGATATTTGAAGACGGCTCATATCACCTCTCCGTCTTCTCTTCCCCAGGCTAAACATACACAACACCCCTTCAACCATTCCTCATCAGGCTTGGGTTCCAGACCCTTGGTCACCCTGTTCGCCCTCTTCTGAACACATTCCAGCTTGTCAATATTAAACTGTGGTGACCAGAGTTGGACACAATGATCCAGGTTGGGTCTGAGCAAGGCAAAATAGAATAGTATTGTTACTTCCTTTGACCTGGACACTAGACTTCTGTTGATGCAGCTTAGATTAGCATTCACTTTTTTTGCTGCTGCATCACAGTGTTCTCTCATGTTAAGCTTGTGGTCTCTACTAAGACCCCAAGATCCTTTTCACATGTTCTACAGTCAAGCCAGGTGTATATTTGTGCACCTGGTTATTCCTGCCTACGTGTCAAACCTTACATTTGTCCCTACGGAAATTCATTTTTAAAAAAAGTTTGGGCCCAGTTCTCCAATCTGTGAAGCTCATCTTCAGTCCTGATTCTCTGAGGTCTTAGCTACCCCTCCCACTTTGGTGTCATCTACAGATTTGATTATCACCCCCTCTATGCCTTCGCCCAAGTCATGTTGAACAACAAGGGGCCCAGGACAGAACCCTGCAGCAGTCCTTTTCTCCCAGGATTGCGAGGAACCATAGGGGAGTCCTTTTGGGCCTCAGTTAGTCAAACAGCTACAAATCCACCTAGCAGTTCACATCCTCTAGGCCACATTTTACCAGCTTCACTGCAAGAATACCAGGAGAGACTTTGTGACCAACTCAAAAGGCTTGCCAGAAGATTAAAGCACAGGAAATTTCATTTTATTTTTTTTACTCCTTTCTTCCACAGAGAGCTGCACTGAAGATCCGGAGTGCGTACGTCCCTGAAGTCTGCAGGGAGGCAGCCTCCGAAACATCGGTTCTCCAACTTGTATTTCAGAACGCCCTCAGAAAAAGAAGAATCCGAAGAATATCCTAAATAGCGTAAAGAAAAAATAAAAATTTGGAGACAAAAATGTAAACACACAGCAAATAATAAAAGTCTTTTATTGCATTGTGCTGCATGTTTTGTCCTGTGTCATATATGCAGGGAAATGCTTGATATTTTCAAATACATGGTGGGGATACTTTGGGCCCCTTAACGCTGGTGTTTTATTGCAGCTGTGTTCTGGACACAAATCCACACTGGTAGTGAATTTAGCCTGCTTTAGTTGGTTAGAACAATAGAGTGCAATTATTTTGCTGCAGAGGGAAGAAAGAAAACCATGATGAGAGGAAGCCAGTAATTAAAAGTTCCTTACCCTTTCAGGGAAGAGGAAAGCTCAATTCTAAGACAATTTGTATGTACCGTATTTTTTGCTCTATAGGACGCACTTTTCCCCCTCCAAAAATGAAGGGGAAATGTGTGTTTGTCCTATGGAGCGAATGCAGGCTCCTTGGCTTCAGCGATAGCAACGCGAAGCCTCTGAAGCGCAGAGGGTGCGCTCCCTCCGTGCTTTGACGTGCTTTCGATGAGCACCGACCCCTCTCACTCTCCAGGCTTCAGGAGTTCCCGCCGTGCTCCAAAGGCTTGCAGGCTGAAGCCTGAAGCCCGGGGAGCGCAGCGCCAACTCCCGCTGCACTCCCCGGGCTTCAGGCAGCTATCCACAAGCCTTAGGAGCGCGCCCCCAGCCCCGCAAGCTCCGGGAGCGGCAGCAAGGCTGCACGCAAGCTTGCCGCCGCTCCTGGACCTGTTCTGGGGGCTGGGGTCGGGAGAAGCTTGGGCTTCCCCCGCCCCAGCCCCGCTGCTAAAAACCAAGCCAAGACAGTGAGCGGGATCCATCCCTCTCGCTGTCTTGGCTTCTGCCAAAGCCGCGCACAGCCTCTCCCGGGTGGAGAGGTTGCGCACGGCTAAAGAGGAAGCCAAGACAGCCAGCGGGATGGATCCTGCTTGCTGTTTTGGCTTCTTTGCTCTTTGGGGCTGGGGGGGGAATAATTTTTTTCTTTATCCCCCCCCTAAAAACTAGGTGCGCCCTATGATCCGGTGCGCCCTATGGAGTGAAAAATACGGTAATGCTTCAGCTGCCCCATGCAATTAAGAAAAAATTAGATGCACCTTGGAAGCAGAAGCCTGCAATTAGGAAGCAATTAGAAGCAGAAGTCACAAGAAGGAAACTTCTAATTCAGATTGCAGGGGAACGCTGCTCAACAGAATTCCTTCTGAGTACAGTAAATGTAATAGAAGGAGTTTGGCTTTGGGAATGGGCATTGCCTGATAATATAGCATTCTATATAGTGTTGTACCTAGGGATGCGGGTGGCCCTGTGGTTAAACCACAGAGCCTAGGACTTGCCAATCAGAAGGTCGACGGTTCGAATCCCCGTGATGGGGTGAGCTCCTATTGCTCGGTCCCTGCTCCTGCCAACCTAGCAGTTCAAAAGCACATCACAGTGCAAGTAGATAAACAGGTACCACTCCGGCGGGAAGGTAAATGGTGTTTCTGTGTGCTGCTCTGGTTCCACTTTCAGATGTGTTATGTACTGAGCTGAATCCTAGAACAATAGGATCAATAATGCAGCAGTCTGATTGGTCCGCAGGAGCCACCCAATCCAGCTCCAGGTGGAAGTGAATCAGCGACCTGATTGGCCTACAGGAGCAGCCCGGAATTAGCCAATTACGTGGGGCCCATTGTGTAAATAATGTATATATAGCTAGACGTTTTGGGGAAAGTTTCATTCATTGCTACTATGAGCTGAATAAAGAGCATGAAATTCACACTCAACGCCGAGTATATTTCAAGATGATTGTAGAAAAACACCACAAAAGGGCCATAACTTGAAGATAACCTCCAAGCACCAGCCACCCTGACCTAGCATCTCCTTTATTCTCTTCTGAGTCAGGAATAAAAGGTCTTGCATGATTGCCGCTCTCTCTAATGCAACTGCTTTTTCAGTAATTTCCTTAATGCAGTCTGGAAAACTGATCTTCTTCCTTACCTAACAGCTGCCTTTAAGCCAAGGTGGTTATGACCAGAACAACATAACAAATTAGCATTTCCCTCTTGCTGGGCTTGAAGAAGAAAACCAACTTAAGGGAAAGCAGAGCTGGTGGAATGGTGTTAAAAAAGACAAGCTGGCCTTCAGATTGGACCACACTCTGCTTTTCAGACCTGCTCTTCATCCAGATTAATCGGTCATTCGGACAGAGTAGTCAGCTGCAAAAGAAGGCAGGACTTTGCACCTTAGTATTTAGTACTATTAAAGATGCAGGGGTCTTGTCATTGCCCTATACTTAGGACCAATGAGAAATACCTAGTGCCCTTGTTCTGTTAGTGCAATGATTTATGTGCACGGTAGAAATACCACCCTCCCTTTCTCCACCTCTGCCCACCTCCTGCACTTTCCCCAGACCTGCCCTGGAGGGTTGGAGGAAGCCCAGAACAGATTTAACAGAGCATGGGATACAAAACCAGAGGTGCCACAGTCTCAAATTATGCTTCATTTGGAGATCTGGTTTTGGTAGGGGCAAAAGCTCAAACCCTCCAAGTGCCCCTATTTTCAAGGGACAGTCCTGGATTTATAGAAGCCGTCCTGGGTTCTGATTTGATCCCAGAATGCCCCACTTTTCCTTAGGATGTCCCTGTTTTCATCGGAGAAATGTTGGAGGGTATGGGTATTGGCGACCCCCCCCAAGTCAAGGAGATAAGTAACTCCACAACCTTTAGAAGGCAGCCCTTGATAGTGTAGGAGTGCAAATATCCAGAGATGTAGTGATCAGGTGGGATTGCTATGAGGAATTATAACAAATATAGAGTAAGCCATCTGTGTCAGCAATGAAAGCATTGCGTTGACTGGGTTTAAACTATTTTGATATGATTTTTGATCAATCTACACCTCTGCATCTCTGGCCCTTTTGACTCTACTGCCCATTTCTCTCTCCTCACGTCACGTACACAGCAGTACACAGCAGTTGCTTCGCCAGGCAGGCATCCTGTGCCATAAAGATAGTAGGCAAGTTACTTTGATGTAGTTTTCTTATATATAATCTTAAAATGTTAATCTTGGAGCCAGGAAACAGATCTCACATGAAGGTGGTAGTGATCTGGTCTTTCTGGCCATCCTTCTTATCATGTTTATTTCTCACCTCTGGGGTTGCCAGATGCACCCCTTTGTAGTTCTCAAGTTATTTACTACCCCTTTGTAGTTCTCAATTTATTTACCCCAAAATATATGCATGCTAATTAGTGTTGTAGTGTAACTTTTTCCCCACATGGGTTTGATGAAATGCTCAGAGGAAATATGATTGGTTCTTACGAGCACTGTGTAAAAGATTCTTTTGCTAATAAAATGGCCTGGTGAGGGGTGTGGTGTACGCACTTTCTCCGAGAGCCTTGCTGGTCAAAGCCTCGTGTCTTGTTTTTAATCAGGGTCCAGTCCTTCCTTTACTTTGCGAACGCAACAGATAGGGAAGATTTTTTAAATTGTTTAATGTTTTATTATGTTTTTATATACGTTAGAAGCCACCCAGAGTGGGCATGGTATAAATAATAACATTTATTATTATTATTATTATTATTATTATTATTATTATTATTATTGACGTCCCTATTTTCATTGGGGAAATGTTGGAGGCTGTGAAATCTGTCCACAATACATTCTCTGTTCCTCCTCCCCAAAGACCTGCAATACAATCACTGCCCTTCAGAGTTGCTGTATTAATAGGTGAATTTGGTAAAGGTAAAGGTAAAGGGCCCCTTCATGGATCACTGCCTTGCCGTGGCAAAGGGGCTTGAATAACTCAGAGAAGCTATGAACTATGCTGAGCAGGGCACCCAAGATGAACAGGTCATAGTGGAGAGTTTGGACCAAACGTGATCCACCTGGAGGAGGAACCCGCAAGCCACTCCAGTATCCCTGCCAAGAAAACTCCATGGACAAAGACAACAGGCATATAAAAGTTATGACGCTGGAAGATGAGCCCCTCAGGTCGGAAGGCGTCCAACATGCTACTGGGGAAGAGCGGAGGACAAGTACAAGTAGATCCAGAGCTGATGAAGCGGCTGGGCTAAAGCCGAAAGGACGTTCAGTTGCGAATATGCCTGGAAGCGAAAGGAAAGTCCAATGCTGTAAAGAAAAATATTGCATAGGAACCTGGAATGTAAGAACCATGAACTTGGGTAAGTTGGAGGTGGTCAAAAATGAGATGGCAAGAATAAATATTGACATCCTGGGCATCAGTGAACTAAAATGGACGGGAATGGGCGAATTCAGTTCGGATGACCATCATATCTACTACTGTGGGCAAGAAACCCGCAAAAGAAATGGAGTGGCCCTCATAGTCAACAAAAGAGTGGCGAAAGCAGTACTGGGATGCAATCTCAAAAATGATAGAATGATCTCGATACGAATCCAAGGCAGACCTTTTAACATAACAGTAATCCAAGTTTATGCACCAACTACTGGTGCTGAAGAAACTGAAATTGACCAATTCTATGAAGACTTACAACACCTTATAGAAGCGACACCAAAGAAGGATGTTCTTCTCATTATAGGGGATTGGAATGCTAAAGTAGGGAATCAAGAGATAAAAGAAACAACGGGCAAATTTGGCCTTGGAGAGCAAAATGAAGCAGGGCAAAGGCTAATAGAGTTCTGTCAAGAGAACAAGCTGGTCATCACAAACACGCTTTTCCAACAACACAAGAGACAACTCTACACGTGGACATCACCAGATGGGCAGCATCGAAATCAGATTGATTATATACTCTGCAGCCAAAGATGGAGAAGCTCAATACAGACAGCAAAAACAAGACCTGGAGCTGACTGTGGCTCAGATCATCAGCTTCTTATAGCAAAATTCAAGCTTAAACTGAAGAAAGTAGGAAAAACCACTGGGCCGGTAAGATACAATCTAAATCAAATCCCTTATAAATACACAGTGGAAGTGAGGAACAGGTTTAAGGATTTAGATTTGCTAGACAGAGTGCCTGAAGAACTATGGATGGAGGCTCGTAACATTGTA